AAATTGCATACAGAAGAAAAAAAAGAGTATTTAAAAGACAGTTTAAGAGGTCATCAAAGGAAATGCGTTGAATCTGCATAATGTGATGGCAAGTTTCAACCTCAGAGTCAGCCCAGTGCAATATACTTCCAAATGCAATTCCATTCCCTCTTCCCATTCTTTTCTAAACGTAAACATAGGTTTCAACATGGCCATGACTCTTCATTTACCTCTTATATTTGACTGCTTTCAAACCCAATCCGTAAGGAGTTTTATATTCTTGAAATAATACACCTTGGCCTTATCATTTTTTACCTTTACCCAACACTTTACTCTTTAATGTAGTTTTATACTCATTGATGTCCTCTGTCAAAATCAACAAAACCTGTGGGACATTTTTTATAGGACATTTTTTACTTCTATGCCCCTTCTGCATGTTTATGGTTTGGTTTTAAATACGTATGCTAAATATCAGAATTATTCTTCTAACAACAATGTCAAAATTTCAAGCCTTCATGCAATGCCCTGTAATCATACACACAGGAAGTGAGTGCTTCCAACATGCAGTACCTTCTCTGAACATTAGATCCCTTAATTATCATAAGGAACTTCTCAGGTAGATTTTGATTGGTTCTAGTTTTCTTGATGAAGCAGCTGAAGATGGAGAATTTGAATAATGTCCCAAGTTCTCATAGCTAGTGGTAGACTGAAATGTATGTTAGTCTCCAAATAGTCTTTGCTGTGGGCTGTCTACTACATGTGGAGATTTAATTGTTTAATCTATTAACCCCTCTAAATGGTTTCTGTGCACTCAACTTCAATCTGTTACCGTGTTTCCACTCCCAGCGTGGTTGCTTTCTTAGACATCTTGAATGGGAATAATTGCTTTCTTATTCAGCTCAAGAAAATGAGTTCTCCAGTTCATTATCCATTCCTATGTCAGAATGTTACACATAGAAAAATCAACAAAGAAAGAAAATATATTCTTTACAAATTTTGAGGCTGAAAAGTGTAATGGTATGGCACAAAAATATAGTAAAACACTTTTTGCTTCTTGACACGTTATTGAATGCGAAGTAACAAGTGAGCACTGTTTATATAAGAAGGCTGCTTCACTCATAAGACCCCACTTTCATATTAATAACATCATTCCATTCATTAAAGCAAAACAATGTGCCCATCACCTTGTAAGGGTCCCTTATCTCAACTCTTTATCACTAGATAATCAGTTCCAGAAATATGAAGTTTAGAGGGTATATTGAAACTCATACTGGATTACTGATTTGAAATCTGACTTCAGCCAGGAGGAAGTCCACAGTACATAAATGTCTACACTTACCTTTGCATCTTCATGCCTCTAGACACAGAAACCTCAGTGCCAGTCTTCATTTATTGCTTTATTGTAGGTGACCTAAGTAGGATCCAATCTTTTGTTATGCATCACATGTATTTATTTAATATATATGTTTTTCATTACATCATACAAAAAACCCAACATTCATAACAATATTGAAATTGTTGCATGAACGACCTAAGGACAACTGGGTAGAAGTGTTTTACTCATTATTAAAGTCTTGCCTAGTGAGTGACTCTGCAGAGCTTTAAACATTCTAAAGTGCACTTTCAAGGGTGTAAATAGAATGCAATATCAGCTTTGTTTATTGTGGCACCTTTAATGAGACTTTGGTAGACATAACTTTTTATACAATAATACTTCAGAAAGAGTAGTATCATGTAAAGCATACCTGGGAAGACAAGGACTGGACTCAATTCTATGACCTTTAACATGCCTCTCAGTACTCTTTTAACTGAAGCATTTGTCTGTAATTCTACTCTCCTCTGCCCCTTTTTGATCTTTCTCAGGCTGAGTTCCCATGACTCTTGAATCTCTCCTCTGTGGCCTGGTCTTTCTCTATTTCTCCATTTATTTACTGGAGAAAAATAATTTGTCATTTAATTTTATTATGGCCACAAACTACTCCCACCTTCATTATGGCCCTTATTATGAGGTGCTTGATCTATGTTCATCTGCCTTTACATTGAAATATTAAAAATAAAGAAATAATCTGGCTCATTTCTATCACTCATTATAGCTTTCTCAGATCCTAACACAGGGAGTATTGCAGAGTAAATCCTTGAGTGCTGTATCCAAGTTAATAGGAATGTACAATACTGCAGAGAAAAATGATTTCACTTGATAGAGCATGACATAATATATGCTACATGGCTTGTATGCAAACTTCCTTAATGTGTTCACGTCCTGAATATCCTACAATTTGAAAACTGAGGTACAGCAAAAATGTCACTGTCCAAATGCACCAAGCTGTCTCAGATTCATGCTGATGTCCACAGATGAGGAGATTATGGCACACAGACAAGAAAACCCCCCCACAGCTCTGCCCAAGAAAAGGTGCTGTCAAGGAGGAGGCAAGGACTGTGTTTTTCTCTTAAGGCATCTGTGCCTAATCATTTTCTTGTAGTGAGTCTCAGTTTTTCCTACTTCTATGTGATGTTGACCAAATGACTGCTATCAGATACGACATGATATTAGGTCCTTTTTGGGTTTTAAGTGTCCAAAGACCCATGCTCCTGCTTTGGTTTGAAAAGATAAGGCATGTCATCATTGAGACCTGGGAAAGTTCTTTCTCTAGCCCAATCTTTTCTGTCTCTTTTCACAGAAAGAGAAGCCAGGGAAAGGAACAAGAAATTGATTTTCAAGATTGTGTTTAGATTCTCCATCAATAACAAATCATTGCATTCTGCTTTCCACGGACAAAAAGAATTAGGTGTGTATGGAGCCTCCAGGATACTGCTCAATACCCACCTCCACTCCATACCTGAAGCTGAGCCCTTGGTGCTTTTGCTGTCTGGCCTCTGTGCACCTGGATTATTAACAAAGTATGAGCTAATAGACCAACTTTTTATTGGCTAATAAATTGCAATTCTCTCTCAGGCCTTTGACAGATTTTTGCTGATGTGAGGAAATATACATGAGATATATTCTGTTTTGCCAAAAATCCATTAGTACAGCAGTACAGAACTCTCTGAAACTTAGGGAAATTGAAGTAAAATTCCCCTTATTCCACCTAGCCATCTGCCATCAACCTGAATGGTGCTAAAACATTTTATGAGGCTTCTACAGACACAAGAGAGATAAGTTTTTCAGAGTCTTACTGCTTCTTCACAGTCTACATTCTGACAATATTTAATAATGCTCTCTCCATGCCCAGCATACCCACATGCCTTTGGTTAAAACTGCTTTCTCTGCCATCAGTGTTGTTTTCAACATTGCCTAGGAAATTTCTTTATGTAATTCAAACTCTTCCAAATAAAATTCCACTTCTTTCATTGAAGTGCTTAGTTTCACACTCCCTTCTTTCATGTTCTCACAACATTTTGTCCTTTTTAATTTTCTTACATTGTCACTACTGTGAGTTTTATGTTCATTTGATTTGGAAATGTACCTGCTGACAGACAGCCATGACTAAGAATAAAGCTCATCTCTGCCCTCAGCTTCTCAGGAATCAGATGAGAAATTCTCTTACATTGAGCATGAAATCTTGGAGTAAAATGTGATAAGGTAAGCTAGGTATTCATAGGTGTTCAGTAATGTTGAAAAACCATACCAAAGAGTGAGAGAATGTGTCTGGAATGGTAATGTTTAAATGAGACCTGAAGCGTGTGTATTTATGATTCAGGTGAAGTAGTGACAAGAAGAATTAATTTCCAGATAGAAGAGATGGCATTTGGGTACATGCAGTTGGAAATGTCATGATGTTACATTGTGTCAGCACATTCAGGGTTATTAGAGTGTAATCTCAGAAAGCACTGTCATACATTTTCACATTACTGTGGATATTTTTCATAGGGTCTTCTTCAATTTCACCTACATATAACTTATATACTAAGAGGGAAATTGGTAATTAATAAAGGAGACTGCCATAAGCTTACAAAATAATGTGCAGAGTGTATTCAGGTGTCTGTAACAATGGGTTTGTTTTAAGCATGTGTCCATGGCCAGATGCCTGTTGGAATTGTTCGTTCTGCCTGCATGGAGGAGAATGGAGATACATAAGGACTTCAGACTGTAAGCTCCGCATTCCCAGTAGTTTCCTCCGCACAGATTGAAATTTTCCACCTTTCAACACTAATATTCCTAGAAGGAAAATATTATGTGGAGTCATGTGATACTCTTGTTTACAATTGGTTGGCCTGAGAGATGTACAGGATATTTGTAAAGCACATTTCTAAGAGTGTCTGCTTGAGTCACACTAGTGTGACCCGATCTGGCCCCTGACCCCTTCCTTTGAGGGTCCTCTGCTCTCTGGTTCCTGGCTCTCCTAGAGTACTTATTCTTCAATTGTATCTAGCATGATGCTTCTGCATTGGAAGAAGTCAAACCCAGACTGCAACAATGAAACAATGAGACATATTTTTGTTTTTGCAGCACTGGAGATCCAAGGCAAGGCCTTGCCTATGCTAAGTAAGCACTGCACCACTGAGCCACCTCTATACCCCACACCCCCATCTCCACAGCTGGATTTTTTTTGGTGGGGGGTACTGGGGATTGAACACGGGACTTTGTGCTTGCAAGGCAGGCACTGGAACCACTGAGCTAAATCCCCGGCCCACAGCTGCATTTTTTGTTGAGGTTTGCTGATATCCTGGCTTTGTGTTTAAGAGAGAGGGTCTCACTGTATAGTCCAGGCTAGCCTGAAACGCACTCTCCTCTTGCTTCACCCCCACAATTGCTGGGATTGCAGGCTTGCGCACCACACCCAGCTTTTGAATTTTATGTCTATGCCAATTTTTTTCTTATCAGCTCATGTTTGGGGCTATTTAAGAGATATGTGAAACCCTAGCACCACCCAGAGCCCAAATCTGTCAAAAGCGCAGTGGTCCCTTCCGTCCAGCCTTCTAGGCCTCCCTGAGACACAGCGGGCACAGAGGAAGGGAGCTGGCACAGCAGCGCAGACCAGTGGCGTCATCAGGGGGTGCAGGCAGGAAACACGAATAAGACTTGAAAAGCAGAAGGGAACTAGTGTCTTCCCTGTGACCACAGCAAAGCTTTCTAGATGGCTGTGGGTTCTTTCTCTCCACGGTGGTGTTGATGCAAGCATACTTGCATGCTGTAGTGGACTTTTTAGAGAGCTGATGCCCTCCACGCTTTCGCCGGAGAGCTCATCCTGAGCAAAATCAAGAAGATAACCCCAAAGCCTGGTGACCTTTGCTCTTTGGCTGCAACTTTTACTCCTTAGCGGGCAAGGTGGGAGTCAAGCCAGAGTTTCCGTACTGGCTAATGAACATTTTTTTCTGTGCTTATTTCTTCTCTTTAGATTCTCTTCATTTTTTAATGGTAGGTCTTATATCTTATATCCTAATTAAAGTAATTTATTATTTCTAGACGCTCTCTTGGCAGATCTATGGGATTGTTTACATTATCAGGTTGGTGATAGGCTGTTTTATTTGTTCCTTTTCAGTTTGGTTTTCTTATTGCACTGGCCAAAATCTCTGATGCAATATTGAATGGGAGTGGTAAGAGCAGATTTCCTTGCTTTCTTATCTACACACAAAAACATTCAATCTTTTACCATTAAGTGTGACATTGATTGTAGGTTTTTTTGTAGATGCCCTTTATCAGGTTATAGATGTTTCCCTTTATTTTGTATTTGATGAATTTTCATCATGAATGTTATTAAATTTCTCCCAATGCTCTTTTTGCATCCTTTAAGATAACTATCTGTTTCTTCTTTAGATTTGTTGAATGCCATGCAGTATTTTGTGCGTGTAGGGCTGGTACTTCTGGTGGTAAAAAGAATTTTCCAATAATCAAAGAATATAGAAAAAGAAGAATCAGTACACAGCAAGGGAGCAGCAGGTGAGTCTGAGAGAGGGTGAAATGCTGAGGTTTTATATTTGATTCTAATGTGATGAGGGCCTTTTGAATCATCCACCCTGGGAATGCTTGCACTGGGTCACAGTGGTCCAGCTCATTCTGAGGGTGGCAGGGATGGCTTGGAGTCCGACACAATGTTTTTGTTTGACAGGTCCTGTGCCCTTGGCATTGCTAGAAGCAGTCCTTCTGGGTAAAACTAACAAATATGTCCAGAGGATCAGAATAACGTATATATATATATATGTGTGTGTGTGTGTGTGTATATATATATATGTGTGTGTGTGTGTATATATATATATATGCACACACACACACGCACACACTTTTGAGATTATAGTGGGATGGGGAGAGTTGGCATTAAGGTGTGTTAAGCAATTAGGTCACCTAGAAGTGTATTTATAGTTTCTGTGTGTGGTTTACAAGGTAGAACTCTGACATTCTACTACTACCTCACCCCTCAGCTGCAGTGTGGCCTCTAAAGAAACACTGATAAAATAACCACGATTCTCCACAACATGATGAACTCCATTGATTGGTTTTCAAATGCTGATTCACCTTATATTCTCAGGATAATTATTACTTGATCATTGTGTATTATTTTTGCTATTAGATTCAATTTGTTATAATTTTAAGAGTTTTTGCATCTATTTTTCTGAGGGATATTGGTCTGTAATTTAAATTTTCTGGGAACTTTTTGTCTTTTTAAAAATTCAGGATCTTGCTGTGCAGTTCAGGCTAGATTTGAGCTCACTATGTAGCTCAGGCTGTTCTCAAACTCATACCAATCCTCCTACCTCAGCCTTTCAAGTGCTAAGATTACAGGCCTGTGGCACCACAACCAGATATTTGTCTTCATTTTTAAAACTGAGTAATATTAGCTTCAAAGGACAAGTTGGGAAATATTTCTTCTGCTTAAACATTCTATAAGATTTTGTGTAAAACTGGTATTCTTTCTTTTCTTTTTTTTTTTCCTCTACCAGGAATCGAACTCAGGATGTTGCACTTGCGAGACAGCCAGTGGAAACACTGAGCTAAATCCCCGGCCCATAAACTGGTATTATTTCTTCCTTACATGTTTGGTAAAATTCACTAGTGAAAGCGTTTGAGCTTGAAGTGAGTGGGGAGGTTTTACCTCATTTATTTAATAGGCATATTGTTTTTTGCCATATCAATTTCTCATGTGAGCTTTGTTAGTTTTTTCTTTCAGAAAATATGTTCATTTGATCAACTTGACTTATGTTGTTTATAATCTTCCCTTATTCCCTTGTTCTTTAAAAATCTGTAGAATCTTTAGTGACAACTTGCCAGATTTAAAACATATTCCCTTGTTGGCATGAAAAATACTTTCTACAGTTTGAATCCCCTTAATTTCATTTAAATTTGTTTTGTGGCTCAGACTATGCATCTGTCTTTTAAAATATTCTTTCTAAGTGTACAATTGGAGAAGAAGGGGATGAGTGGAGGGAGCAAAACAAGGTGAAATTAATTCAAGTATGCACTAGTAAAAAAGAAAATATTTTTCCATATGCACTTGAAACCAATAAATATTGTCTTCTTGTTATTGTGGAATGACTTGTAAAATTTTCTTTTTTCCACCAAATTAAAAGATGAGGCAGGTGTGGTGGCAGATGCCTGTAATCCTGTTCCAGAATCGTGGAAAGAAATGCACAGAGACATAGAAGTCATCCCTAGTGGTCTTTGTTAAGTAAATAAAGTTCCAATTCCTGTTTAATGGTTAGACACAGGTGGTTTCTGTCACTGATTACAGCCCTAAACACGTGACAGTTAAGGCACATATATCACAGGTTTGTTCAAGGATTCTCACTTTGTTCTTCAGAGCTAGGATGTTATCTATAGTGGAGCTACAGATCAAAGGAGCTATATAACCTTCACTTTAAACAGCAGAAGCAACGGGTTAAGGCAAGCTTTTAAAGGGATACACTACCTATTTTGCTTCCACAACTACTTCAATAGCTAATCTACTAACCTTACTTTAGAACTTTTCCCTATCAATCCTAGCTCTTGGGAGGCTGAGGTAGGAGGATTGCCTTGAGTTCAAGGGCAGCCTGGGCTATATAGTGAGTTCAGTGGAAACCTGAACTACATAACATGACCCTGCCTAAAAAAACTCAAAAACAACATTGAAATTTCTTACTATAATTGTGTATTTTTCTATTGTATTTTTGTCAGCATCCTTCTTTCTTTCCCTTTCTTTCTTTCTTTCTTTCTTTCTTTCTTTCTTTCTTTCTTTCTTTCTTTTCCTTCCTTCCTTCCTTCCTTCCTTTCTCTTCTTTTCAGGTCCATAAATGCTTAGGGATGTTATGAGCTCATGATGAATTGACACTTTTCTCATGAAATGACTTGTATTCCTAGCAAGGTAGTTTTTGCTCAGGAATCTACTTTGCCTTTTACTGATATCACCATTCCAGCTGCCATGATTAGTGTTAGTGTTGCATCAGGCAGGTGGTCTTTGAGGGGCCAGGGGTCTTTGACGACCTCCTGTCTGCCCCCAGGTATCTCTGGGTCCCTCACCTCCACTCCAGTGAAGAATAAGGAAGTGAGGCCCGGCTGGCTCAGAGCCAGAGGTCCCCAGCAGAGAATGAGGACCTCAGCCGAGTGCCCCCCTTGCCAGCGCAGAAAGTGGAAGTCAGAAGTGAAAGTAGTGTAAATCAAAAGTTTATTTATATGGTCATGAATCCAAGGAACAGCTGCCAAACAACAGGACACAAATTTCCCGAAGGTCAGAGAACCCCTGTACTCATACTCATGGGGCTAAGCTGGTTTCTAAAAATAACTGTTTCACTGATTGGTGTAATCTAAGCCCATCAGGGTCTCAGCCTTTGTTTCTGGGTTGAGGAGAGGTCAGGGGGCTAAGGTGCACACAGTGAATATGTGTAATAATTTCACAAGAGCTAGATTCCTCAAGTACATAGGGTACAATAAGCTTGTGGTAAATACACAGCCACCAGCCACCCACATCATGTCCTGCATCATCCCTACCTACATCCCCTTCTAACTGTCCCTACATTAGCATCTACACTTTTAGCTAAATTTGTACTTTCATAATCAAGTGGGTTCTCTGTCTATTTCAGTGTAGAAAAAATCATGGAAATACAACAGTATTAAGCAAACACTGCAAAAAATTATTCATGGCAGGAACAATTATGGCAAATCTAGTAGGTATTCCTCATTTAACAACCGAGTTATGGTCCCATAACTAGGTCATTAATTGAATTGCTCGCTAAATGAGGAATTGTATAGAGTACGTAATTTCAATATTCAGAACAAAGAAATGGTCAAAGGAAACTCCAACCTGATGACTTTGCTCTTATTTGCATGACTTTGACATCCAGAACTGTAATGTAAAACAGAACATAAAACTACACTACTGTACTGTACAGCACACTCAGCAAAAAGTACCACACTGTATAAACAAGGTGCACTGTCCAAAAAAAGACACTGAGGCTCTATAAACAAGGTGTACAGAACTGTATTTTTAAAAAAGACAGTCATAAGTTCAAGTGACAGGTCATAAGTCTGAACAGCACCCCTCAGTATGTCTCAATGGTCATTAAATAGGTCATTAAAGGAGAATATCTGTACTGCATACTAAAGTGGGTAGATGTTTGAAGAGAAATGGGTTATTTTTAAAAAATTCTTTTATTGGTACATTTTAGGTATACAACACATTTACATTTCTCATTGGGAACTTGTATCTTTACATGATGCATCTTGGTTCTTATTTTTTCCCCATTCCTAGCCCTGCCTTCACCCCCTCCACCCTTTTCTATTTACAAAGACTTTGTTTCCATTTTTTCTAGAGAAATGGGTTATTGGGGCTGGGGATTTAGCTCAGTGGTTCCACTGCCTGCCTTGCAAGCTCAAGGACCACAGTTCAATCCCCAGCACCAAAAAAATAAAACAAAACAAAACAAAAAAACAAACAAACAAAAACCTCCCAAGAAGGGGGTTATTTATGTAGTCTCAAAGAAGCGCTCAGTGATACTTACTAATTACAAAGGAGAAAATAGTAACTGTATTGCAGAACCTTGTCAAACACCACCATAAACAAGATATCAGCAGTGGTAGCAGCAGTAATAGAACTTAGTGACACTATGTATGTCTTCACACAGCATGTGAGGGAGGACATTTTATCTCTGGTGTGTCCTTGCCAAAATGTATAGCCCTATTGTAATAGGAGAAAACTGGATAGACCAAGGGAGATACTCTAGCAAAAGGTAAAGAAAGACCAAAGAAAAATTAAACTAGAGGAGGTTTAGGGGCCATGACAAACAAGGATAATGTGGGGTCCCAGATTGGATCTGGACTAGAAAAGGCCTTTAGTGGGCAAACAGGTAAAATCCAAGTGAATTCTTCCATGTAGTAATACTGTGTAAATGTCAGTTTCCTAATTTTAATTTTTTTGGTCATAGCTACAGTTAGAAGCCAGGTGAAGGGTTTATAGGAAATTTACATTATTTTTGCAGCACTTGCCTAACTCTAAAATTATTTCAAATGAAAAGTTTAAGATTAAACTAATATGTACAGTGTTTTGTGTAGGCAGCATAGTTGGATGTTGTGGGGATATTTTTGATCCCTTGTGATAATCTCTGCCTTTCAATTGATTAATATCATGGTGTTAATGTGCTTATTGATTTAAAGTTTGACTTAAGCCTAACACGAAACTATTTATTAGTACATTCTGCACTGTTTGTTTTTTCCTGTTTGTCTTCTATTAGTTTTCACTACCACTTTTTGCCCATAGTATTGATGCAAGAGTGGACCAAATTGGGCTGGGGATTTAGCTCAGTGGTTCTGCCACCTGCCTTGAAAGTGGAAGGACCTGAATTCAATACCTGGTACAAAAAAAAAAAGAGTGGACCAAATCAAGCCTACCACTTGGTTTTGGAAATATGGTTTACTGGAATTTCATGTGTGTTTACAGATTGCTTACATCTGCTTTCACGTTTCAGTGACAGAGTTGAAGTGAAGCAGACATCTTGTAGTTTGTTTGTTTGTTTGCTTTTTGGTACCGGGGATCAAACTCAGGTCCTTGTGCTTTCGAGGCAGGCAGCAGAACCACTGAGCTAAATCCCTGGCCACATCTTGTAGCTTGAAAAAAACAGCTGGATAAATCTATTTGATCTCTCATGGAAAATGTTAGCTAATTTCTGTTCAGAGCTCTATAAACCTCTATGTTTAATCCCCTCAAACCATTCTTATTTATTCCCAGTATTCTGCCCCAATCACAAATTTCTGTCTCTACTGTGGGAGGGATGCTGCTCCCATCCAGGTCAGAGCCAGGCTATGTGAAGAGCAGAAGCCCCAGGCCTGCAATGGCTCCAAGGTATGGTCCCACCTGTGTTGCCTTGTCGGCTCTCAGTCATGACCTTCACCACCACGGCTTGACCACTTTCCATGTACCAGGACCTTAAAGAGTCTGTGTGGCATCTTGTGATCTCCCATTGGGTGGATGCGACTCCTTAAAAAAAAGGAGAGAAACAGGTTCAGGGGGCCCGAGTGACCTTCCCAGGTCCTGTGTCTCTCTCTTCAGCGGCAGTGGCAGGCCCAGGTCTGCACCAAGTCATTCTGGGTCCCCAGGCCCCTTGCTTTTGGAGCTCCACCTGCATCTCCAGGCTGCTTCTGTGTGTGTTCACATGTGCCTGGCAGCATCATTGGCACTTACTCCTAGCCAGCATTACCACCTCAGGCCTGCATTGATGACAATGTCAGCGTGTGTCCCTAGAGAAAAGGGTCATTTTGAAAATCAATAAAACCATTATTACACTTGAAAAATTGATAATTTCTGTTTAAGTTTCACTTACCATCATACCTTCTGTATTTAAGTTTGCTTGAAACAAGAGCCAAATAAATCTCACACATTACAGTTTGTAAAGCAGTCTCTTTGTTTCTCTTTTTTCATTTTTTTGTTAAGTGACAATACAAATTCAGGGTTGAGGGTGTAAGTCAATTGCAGAATGCTTGCCTAGCATGAACAAGGCCCTGGGACTGATCCCCAGCACTGGAAAAACAAATGAAAAACAAAGACAGTAGAAATATATAGAAATAAATATTGTGGGGATGTACATGATAGCTCATAACATGAGGATTAGCTGAATGTGTACTTTGTCAAATGCTGGGATCCCTGCTTTCTTGAAGAACCCACATTGCTCTGTGCTGGAGACTGAGCTGTCATAGTGTTATTTGTAGCTCTCCTGTCCACCCTGCCCCAGCCACTTGTTTTCCAGCAAGGTCCTAGTCTGGGAAGACTGGGAGAGCCCCAGCCCTCTGTTCAAGCAGCTTGGTTTCTGCAGGGTGAAAAGCTTTGTATGTCTGGCCTGAAATTGGGTGGGCAGCTGGGACTTACTGGGCAGCGATGGAGATGAGAGGCATCTCTCCAAAGCCCTTCTGCTTGCTTGCCTCAGGTTTAGATTACCAATGGCAGACTGCCCAGGAGTTTTAAGTGTTTGCAAAGACTGAGAATGTGGATTCTGACAAC